GCATTGTGACGTCAAAAGATGAGGGCCCTTTTCTCATGACGGCAGTCATATAGATTATAAAATATATGTCCAAGTTCTTGTACAAACAAGTAAAAATCATCAGGAATGTAAATATATGTTTGGATATTCGATCATAATCCTTAAACATTACAAAATAGAAGGGAAGCAAACACGGACCTTTAAAGCATCAGAAGTCAGATAAAGTTTGTCTTATGTAGGGATACATGTCATGTCTATAGATTTCCAGTTTATTGAAGCTTTTAAGATTATTTCTAGTTTCTAACCGTTGCTGTTGAATGATTTGCAACACAAATATTATTATATCCTTTGGACATAAATACACATAATCACAGTTGTGGGGATTCGAAAACCACATATTTGATAATCCACTCTCCAATAGAAGATGACCTAGGGAATTTATGGATGTGAAGTATCTAGTATAATGGGATCAGTAAAGGACTCCCTTAGTCTAAGTACACATTTTTCATATTACATAAACTCTCCCTTATTCCCTTACTGTCTCGTCTCTTTCTCTGAAGGTGTGGATGAATTTTTGAATTCAGTACTCTGTGTAAAAAATAAATTGTTAAGAAATTTAGAGAATTTTCTAATAAGTGAAGTCCCACTCACCAAACAAAAATATTTTAACTTTAACTAAATATGTTTATTTTTAAAGTAAAATATTAGGCATTGTAAGACTATTGCAAGTTGGTGAATGTTTTTTTTAACTTTTTTTATCCGCTAATTTAGTTGTTCCAGTGGTGACACTCCCTGAACAAGTAGTTGTAACTGTTGGAAGTCCTGCTTCCATTGAGGCTAACGTTAAGTCTTGCCCTTCTCCTGACAAAGTTGTGTGGCAGAAAAGTATGGAATCAAATCCAGAAAGTTTTCAAAATATAGACATCTATGACTCCAAATATCTAGGAAGCAATGGAGACCCAGCAGATCCGAAACTTGTGATATCAAGCAACTCGAATGATGATGGACAATATTACAGATTACTTGTGTTTAATGGAATAGCAAAAAGCACAAGCAACATTACTCATCTGAATGTTGAAAGTGGTAAGTAATACTAAAAATACTAAACGCTTTTAGACGCATAGAAAATTACAAAGAAAGTTGTTTATTAGAAAAACGTTTATGTTAAATCTCTCTTTGTTTTAATGTTTTAGATATTTGGTTAAATATTAACGTAGTTAAATATTGAATATGAAAAGTAAATAACCTTTAACAGTTCCTTTGTTTCTTCCAAATGTTAAAGGTATGAGTTTTGCAAACAGAATGTACATGACAAGAATCTTGAAGAGTATTTTAACAAATTACAATTCAATGAAAAAAGGTCCAGGAAATTGTAGTCGATTGATTGATTAATTGTATATTGTTTAACGTCCCTCTCGTGAAATTTTCACTCATATGGAGACGTCACCGTATGCCGGTGAAGGGCATCAAATTTTGACCTATACTCAGCAGTCAGGGCCCTTGAGTAGTGATGGTTCTTTATCATGACGGCGCCTACTGTGACACGGGACCTATGTTTTTAGGTCATAATGTAGATTCTAGTTTGTTCATGATTTGAACAAACTAGAATCTACACTACCTGAGGATGATTCCTGGATAGAGCTCCAGATAAGGTGCGTATTTGTAGAAATACACATTAAAGTTTACAAAATACGCATTCAAATTTAAAACAGAGCGTATAATTACACATTAGCAAACATATATACGTATTACACCACGAAAGTACTGCTGCAACATGTTTGAGGATACAGGTATGACTAACTTAATGATACGAATAGAGGTAAACTTTATGTTTGATTTTCTCAAATCGGAAGTACACATTTAAAAGCCTTTTAGTGAACAGGAATATTCTAGTGATGACTACGATTATCTCCATTTCGGGAGGAAGAATCGGAGATATAGATTTATATAGATTTCTATGTAGAAAGACTATGCACTATGCTTAATTTCTTATGGGTTCATAGCCAATTTTTACATCTCTCTGAACTTGCCAGATTCTTTCAGTTTACTGCTGATACGATATCTTAAATGAAGGAAAAGTTATCTGTGTCTCTGACTCTATGTGTATTTTGACCTACTGTATAATCTTCCTTGTCAAAAAAGAATGCTTCCCAATCTTAGCAAAAAGTCTTGCTGATATGTACAAAATTTATTTAAACAAATTCAGGAACTGAGCTTTGAAGCTTTTGCCCTCTTCAAAAACTCATACTTCGATTACAAGCTCAAAATAAAGGTCAAAACATTTCTATATAATCAAAATACACTTCAATCATTTGAAAACCCAAATCTGCATTGATATGAAAATAAGGGAGTAAATACACTTTGGCGTAAAAATTATCTGGAGCTCTGTTCCACATACTAGTAAATATCACTTATTATGGCTTTGAAGTACATGAAAAGAAGATTTTAAAAGGTTTTCCTATATATCCCTATGTAAAACTTGGGTCGACCATTTTTGTCCCACCATAATCCCGGGAGTCATGATTTGAACAAATTTGAATCTACATTACCTGAGGATAATTTCACATGAGTTTCATCTTTCCTGTCTCAATGGTTCTTGAGAAGAAAAGTTTTAAAGTTTTTTCCTATATTACTATGTAAAACTTTGATCGGCCATTTTTGCCCAACCCTCTCCCCAGGGATCATGGTTTGTATAAAATTAAATCTACACTACCTGAGGATGATTCCACATGAGTTTCACCTGTCCTGGCTCAGTGGTTTTTGAGAATATTTTTAAAGATTTTTCCTATACACAACTTTTTTTCAGTTATGTCCCTTACTTAAATTTCATCCCGATAGACGTCGCAGAGAACAGCCGCCATTGCGTCCGTGACGTTGCATAAACAAACTCTGTAGCAACCATTTCAATAAACTTGTAAACGTATGTAATTTTTCAGCGCATTAGCAAAGTGTAATAAACATTTATGATATTTTTATTGAGAGTTTGCTTTTGCATAGAATTTGAATAAAAATCGATGCAAACATGATACATAACAGTTATCGGATGATTTCGTCACTACACTAAAGGACGTCAAACCACACATACAGTCACAGGCGCGGATGCAGGTTTTTTCGTTGGATATGGGAGAGGAATTATAAGGCAAGGGATTTTGGTACAACCAAGGTCGTGAGAAGGTTGCTATCTGGGGGGGGGGGGTGTTCCCGAAAACCGACACATAAATGACTGAAATTTTACCTTCAATGTTTAGGTTCAAGTGAAAACTCCAATTTTTTTTTTAGTCTTTTCTTATGTTCTACAGTGTATATGTGTTTTCCTATTTTATTTATGTATTCATTAGATTACGACAGCGAAGATATAAAAAATAACAAATCGTTGGACAGTTATAATTATTTTAAAAGCGGCATTTTTTTCAGCGATTATTTTAAAATTAAATGTGTTCCTAATAAATTATAAACCCAGATTTTCACAATTCATATGCAACATTCAACTTACTTGGCAAGAGTTTGATTTTAAAGGAAAAGTAGGTCTTCTTACATTTCTTTGAATAGAAAAATGTATTGTCATCAGACTTGAAAAGTTAACTGAATATATATGTTGTGAGGTTAGATCCAACGCACATGTGCCTGTATATTATATTAATATACATAGAGCTACAGTCTAATTTTTCAATATACATAAAATCAGATGGTTAAATATTAATATTTTTCCAATTCCTAAACTGTCAGTTTTAAAAGGACCATAGCAGAGAGTCAAATTAAGCATCAGATACGCATAGTTCTGCATGACAAAACTAAAGAAACAAAACCTCCAAAAAAGTATTGGAGATTGTTTCATTTCAACTTTTTTTTAATTAATAAAAAAAAAACGTTTTCAAAGTGTGCATGTAACCATGCATCATCGTGCAAAAGTACTTATTTTTATATGCGAAAAAAAATAATCGAAAAAAAATCTTGAACAGTGCTTACAATCATTTTTCTACATTAGTACAATATTTTTTCAAATAAAAAATTATCAGTATACGTTTCATTATTGTTTTACATTCTTGTAACGTGATTTATTTGATTTATTATATGTATAACAATTAGGTCTATAGTAATGATGAAGACAACGAGAAGATAACATATTGTTTGTGCTTTATTTCTGTCTTAAGTCGTTTTATAAAATTTACATTTACATGTGAGACTTTTAAAAATAAAAATAAACATCAGTACATGTATTTATATCATAATTCCCCTATACACCGAAATATACGTACGTATCAAATTCACAGCATAATTTGAACATTAAAACCAAATTACCCTTGTTGAGATGTGGGTTATACACTTTATAAGAACTTGAATAAATGAAGGAAACAAAACAAAATGAAATTTTAACAAAATTTAATAAACAAAACAAAAGTAAATTGTACAACAAAAGAAACAAATTTAAAAATATAGAAATGAATTGTCTATCAGCAGCACGTCAGTCCTGGAAGAATGTTCTTTAAAACGTAGTCAATTAATCACCACACCCTTGCTGGAGGTTTGAGTTCCGGTTTTTGAATTTCCTCTGATAAACGGGTTTTCTTTCACAAAATAAATTGAATATTATAACTTTCACAAGTATCACATATATCACATAATAAACTTTAACAATGCCGTCTAGATTAACTTTGGTTTGAATTTATATTATTTTAAACAGGAGATTTCATTATAACACATAACTTAAAATTGCTGGTCCGGATGTGTCCGTCAGGGCTGCCGTACTCTTTCGTACTCTCTCACACAGTTGCCGCTGTTACTGCAAAACCATTACCCTCTCCCTGGCTCCCTGGACTGCCGACTGGCTATTGTCAATGTAATTAGCTGTAGTACCCCGCCCAAGACCTGATAATTACGAAACGGGACAAAAGCCCGAGGAAATAGGACCCTGGGGAAAAATATAATAAAACAACCATACTAAACGTGCAGACTCACACAAGAAAACATTTTACAAATTGTATTTTCAAATACCTGATGTAGTTTGAGTACCCGCCCAGGCTACTTCATCATAACAACAAGCCAAACAGGTCTTATCTCGGCTGTGACTTCCCGGGTACTACCCGAACACGAGCTCTCAGGTAGATAAAATTACACATGGAGGGGCTCCCCACAGGATAAATAACAATATTTACACTAACGCACTAGGGGTATCCTACGGGATTAAATTTAGTTTGTTACAAACCTCCCCCTTTTGAAGACTAAAGCACCATTTAGTCCAACCTACTTACAAACTAAATACATAGAAATCAAACACATATATACAAACTTGAAATATTCACCATTGATCTTGGTTTACTCTACCTCTTCACTAGACCTTGACAACGCATCTGCAATAACGTTCTGATTACCTGGAACATACCGAACTGTAAAACAAAACTCCTGCAATAGAAGACTCCATCTCAAAAGCCTATGATTTGACAATTTTGATCTCTGTAACCACGTCAATGGAGCATGATCAGTTTCAATAACAAACTGCTTACCTTCTAAATACACTCGGAGTGTTTTGACAGCCCAAATAATTGCATAGCATTCTTTTTCAATCACCGCATAGTTTTTCTCTGCTGCTGTAAACTTTTTACTCAAAAAGAATATTGGGTGCTTACCAGTGTCGAACTCTTGTTCGAGGACTGCGCCTGCTCCAGTTTCACTTGCATCTGTACGCAAGATAAACATTCGACTAAAATCTGGACTGTGCAATATTGGTTCACATGCCAACTTACCTTTAAGTTCCTTGAAAGCAGTATCAAGATTATCTGTCCATTTTATTTTGTGTGGTGAATTCTTTTTGGTCAAGTCTGTGAGTGGTAGGGCAAGACTAGAAAGATTAGGAATAAACGTCCTGTAAAATCCAATGAGACCCAAAAATGACCTTACCTTCTTTTTGGTGTTTGGGACCGGAACATTTTGAATTGCTTGCACCTTTGACAACAATGGCTTTATCTTACTGTCACCTACCATATGTCCGAGGAAACTGACCTCACCAAACCCCAATTTGCACTTTGACGGTCGGGCTTTTAAATTTGCATTCTGCAACGCTGTAAAAATCTCTCTCAAATGCACCAAGTGATCTTCCCAGGAATCTCTGAAAACACCAATGTCATCTATAAAAGCTTCTGCATAGTTTTCATGACCTTCAAGGACTTTACTCACCAATCTCACAAAAGTTGCGGGAGCATTTACCATCCCGAATGGCATTACCGTGAAACTTAAATGACCAAAAGGTGTAACAAAAGCACTTTTCTGTTTTGCCTCGTCATCTAGTGGCACTTGCCAATAACCCTTAGTAAGATCCAACTTACTGATATACTTAGCTCTACTGATTTTGTTTAGAATATCATCCATTCTTGGCATCGGACGAGGATCAAACACAGTTACCTTATTTAGATCCCTATAATCAACGCAGAATCTAAGGGTGTCGTCATTCTTTTTGATGAGTACAATAGGCGCTGAATAAGGGCTTTCCGTCTCCTCTATGATTCCCATCTCTTTCATCTGCTTGATTTCCGCATTTACCTTTTCCTGTAGCGCATACGGAATGGAATAAGGTTTCTTCTGGATTGGTTCCTCGGTTGTCGTTTTAATGGTGTGCTGGATGTAGGACGTTTTCTTTGGAACATCTGTAAATACATTCTCAAATTCTTCTACTAACCTTTTGAGTTGTCGTTTCTGCTCTTCTGACAGTTCTGACGATACCTCAACATTATCTGATGATTCTGTCTGTTGAAGGATTGGTGCTCTATGGTTAGTGCAATCGTCCTCATCTGAAAAATTTGGTTTTGCATCCATACATGCCAAAACTTCATTGCTTTTCGGACACTTCTCTTCCGAATCTCTGCTAAGCCACTCTTTCAACATGTTGACGTGGTAAACCGGTTCTTTATTCTTGGATATTCTTACCTTGTAATCCACTGGACTTACCCTTTTCACTACTTCATACGGACCTTTCCATTGCGCCATCAGCTTAGATGTGCTAGTTGGAAGAAGTACAAGAACTTTCTGACCTACCTCAAATGTACGAGTTCTCGCCTTTTTGTCGTAGTACATCTTTTGTTTCTTTTTCGCGAGTCTCTCTAAATCTTTAACCAAATCTCTAATGTTCTGCATTCTCTCCCTCGTCTCCAGAATATAGGACAACACTGAAGCCTGTTCGACTGTAGGTTCCTCCCACTGCTCTTTCAAGATTGCTAAGGGCCCCCTAACATGTCTACCATAGAGCAATTCAAAGGGAGAATACCCAGTTGTCTCATTTGGCACCTCTCTGTATGCAAAAAGGACGTAAGGCAAATGAACATCCCATCTGTGAGGTTCAGAAGAAGCATATGCCTTCAGCATTTCCTTCAAAGTCCCATTAAATTTTTCCACTAACCCATTTGCTTGTGGATGGTAAGGGGTAGTTGTTAATTTTCTTACCTGAAGTAACTAACACAATTCAGTCATCAGTGTGGACATAAAATTGGTACCCCGGTCCGACAGAATTTCATTAGGCACACCTACCCTAGAAAACAGCTCTATCAAAGTGTTGGCCACTGTCTCTGCTTCTTGGTTTTTCAAAGGAAATGCTTCCGGATACCGTGTTGAGTAGTCCATACAAACCAAGATGTAACGATTTTTCTTCTCCGGCAGTGGAAGAGGTCCAACAAAATCGATGGCTATTCTTGAGAATGGTTCCTCAATGGGTGGAATAAGAATGAGTGGAGCTTTTGGAGTTCGACCTTTTGGTGTTCCCTTTTGACAAATAGAACAAGATTTGCAGAACCGAGATATGTCAATATACATTCCAGGCCAAAAGAAATGTTGCATAATACGCTGCCTGGTTTTCTTGTTAGCTAAATGTCCTGCAAGTAGAGTGTCATGAGCCAGGGACATTACTTTCGACCTCATTGTCTTTGGTATGACGATCTGGGAAAATTTCTCACCAGAATCTTTCTGAAATATTCTATACAGTAAACCATCCTGTTTCTGAAAGTAAGACTTACCTTCTTGAGTATCGTCTTGTGCCATACTCAGTGCAGATTTCAAACTGTCATCTGATTCCTGAAGTTCTACCAACTTATCTCTGCTGCACCACAATTGTTTCAAAGATTCATCCTCTGAATCCTCTTCTGTTGCTTTTCTCAGAGAACTACTATTACCTTGCTCCAATTTGGCCTAAAAACGTGTCTGAACTGCAGCACAAGTGTTCTCGTCATCTCCATCCCTCTTGACTTCTATTCCATCCTCCATTGGTTTGAGTATGCTAACATTGTTACCAATAATTACATCAGCAAAAGGAGAATCAAGGACAAGGGCATGTACCTTACCTGATACATAAGGAGTCTTCAAATCTACCATTGCCTCATCACAGTTTCTTTGAGATCCATCAGCCAGAGTTATCACTCTTGAACGTCCTGTTTTATCAGAGTCTGAAATAAACTTACTACGTACAAATACAGTAGAGCATCCGGTATCTCGTAAGACTGCAACTGGTTGATCACTCACCTGGCCCTTTACTAAATCCAAACCCAATGCTGCCGATGTTTCAATTACTGGCGACTCGTTACCAACTCCGGACAACTTAAGAATCACCCTACCCTTGGTTGTATCTTGTATATTGTCTACAACTTTAGACTCAGACTTATCTTAACACAAACCAACATTTTCTGACGTTTTCTCAGGCTTTGTACCTCTCTGACCTTTACTGTCTTGACCCTTTGACTGAGTTCTCTTAAGAAAACAGTTGGCTGCAATATGTCCTACTCTATCACAAATGAAACACTTTCTGCTATCCCCTGCATTAAAGTGAGACTTGAGATTTGACTTACCATCTTGAGAATTTGTCGAACCAAACTTGTTTGGCTTTCCCGTCGACCTATTCCCTGTACTGTGAAATTGGACATTATTGCCACTAAGATACTTACTCTTATGTGCCGCCTGAAATGCATTAGACAACGCAACAACCTCCTCAATAGACTTTGGGTCATGTTCAGGAATCCACAACTGTAAGTCTTTTGGACAACTTCTAACAACCTGTTCTCTCAAGACCATATCATACAACTTGCCAAAATCTGAATCTATTTTCTCACGTTCACACCAGTGATTGAGGTACCTTTCTACCCTAACAAAAAATTTTTTAAATGACTCATCATTTGACTGCTTACCCTGACGAAATTTTTCCCTGTAATCTTCAGAAGTAAGCTCATATCTCTTGAGAATAGCTGTTTTGATAATCTCATAGTTATCACTATCTGCATCCGACAACCTTGAATACGCTTCCAAAGCCTTACCTGCTAACATAGGAACTAAGCGTATAGCCCACTGGGATTTATGCCATTTCTGCAACCCAGCTATCTTTTCAAACGACCGTAAAAAGACATAAGGGTCCTGTCCCTCCTCAAACTTAGGTAACTTAACAGGTGGGCATTTAATCTCATGGGGTTGAGACCCCCAATTTTAGCATGTTCTAACTCTTTTTTTCTTATAGCTAACTCTCGTAATTTCACATCTCTTTCTACCTCTAACTTTGCACTTTCTCTCTGCGCCTGACGCTCTTCTCTCTCTTGCGCCCATCTCTCCCTTTCTAGCTCTCTCTTTGATTCCTGCTCCTGACGCCACATCTCGAGACATTCTTTTACGTTTGTACCCTTTTCAATTAAGTCAGCCATCCATTCTGGCATACCAGACATTGTGAAAGTTTGTGAACCTGAAACACAAAAGCATAATTAATAATAGAAACAAACTTGCAAAAAAAAAAATTCCTCTATTTACCCAAGCTCAGATGTATCCAACCGCTGCCACCAAATTGTTGAGATGTGGGTTATACACTTTATAAGAACTTGAATAAATGAAGGAAACAAAACAAAATGAAATTTTAACAAAATTTAATAAACAAAACAAAAGTAAATTGTACAACAAAAGAAACAAATTTAAAAATATAAAAATGAATTGTCTATCAGCAGCACGTCAGTCCTGGAAGAATGTTCTTTAAAACGTAGTCAATTAATCACCACACCCTTGCTGGAGGTTTGAGTTCCGGTTTTTGAATTTCCTCTGATAAACGGGTTTTCTTTCACAAAATAAATTGAATATTATAACTTTCACAAGTATCACATATATCACATAATAAACTTTAACAATGCCGTCTAGATTAACTTTGGTTTGAATTTATATTATTTTAAACAGGAGATTTCATTATAACACATAACTTAAAATTGCTGGTCCGGATGTGTCCGTCAGGGCTGCCGTACTCTTTCGTACTCTCTCACACAGTTGCCGCTGTTACTTCAAAACCATTACCCTCTCCCTGGCTCCCTGGACTGCCGACTGGCTATTGTCAATGTAATTAGCTGTAGTACCCCGCCCAAGACCTGATAATTACGAAACGGGACAAAAGCCCGAGGAAATAGGACCCTGGGGAAAAATATAATAAAACAACCATACTAAACGTGCAGACTCACACAAGAAAACATTTTACAAATTGTATTTTCAAATACCTGATGTAGTTTGAGTACCCGCCCAGGCTACTTCATCATAACAACAAGCCAAGCAGGTCTTATCTCGGCTGTGACTTCCCGGGTACTACCCGAACACGAGCTCTCAGGTAGATAAAATTACACATGGAGGGGCTCCCCACAGGATAAATAACAATATTTACACTAACGCACTAGGGGTATCCTACGGGATTAAATTTAGTTTGTTACAAACCTCCCCCTTTTGAAGACTAAAGCACCATTTAGTCCAACCTACTTACAAACTAAATACATAGAAATCAAACACATATATACAAACTTGAAATATTCACCATTGATCTTGGTTTACTCTAACTCTTCACTAGACCTTGACAACGCATCTGCAATAACGTTCTGATTACCTGGAACATACCGAACTGTAAAACAAAACTCCTGCAATAGAAGACTCCATCTCAAAAGCCTATGATTTGACAATTTTGATCTCTGTAACCACGTCAATGGAGCATGATCAGTTTCAATAACAAACTGCTTACCTTCTAAATACACTCGGAGTGTTTTGACAGCCCAAATAATTGCATAGCATTCTTTTTCAATCACCGCATAGTTTTTCTCTGCTGCTGTAAACTTTTTACTCAAAAAGAATATTGGGTGCTTACCAGTGTCGAACTCTTGTTCGAGGACTGCGCCTGCTCCAGTTTCACTTGCATCTGTACGCAAGACAAACATTCGACTAAAATCTGGACTGTGCAATATTGGTTCACATGCCAACTTACCTTTAAGTTCCTTGAAAGCAGTATCAAGATTATCTGTCCATTTTATTTTGTGTGGTGAATTCTTTTTGGTCAAGTCTGTGAGTGGTAGGGCAAGACTAGAAAGATTAGGAATAAACTTCCTGTAAAATCCAATGAGACCCAAAAATGACCTTACCTTCTTTTTGGTGTTTGGGACCGGAACATTTTGAATTGCTTGCACCTTTGACAACAATGGCTTTATCTTACCGTCACCTACCATATGTCCGAGGAAACTGACCTCACCAAACCCCAATTTGCACTTTGACGGACGGGCTTCTAAATTTGCATTCTGCAACGCTGTAAAAATCTCTCTCAAATGCACCAAGTGATCTTCCCAGGAATCGCTGAAAACACCAATGTCATCTATAAAAGCTTCTGCATAGTTTTCATGACCTTCAAGGACTTTACTCACCAATCTCACAAAAGTTGCGGGAGCATTTACCATCCCGAATGGCATTACCGTGAAACTTAAATGACCAAAAGGTGTAACAAAAGCACTTTTCTGTTTTGCCTCGTCATCTAGTGGCACTTGCCAATAACCCTTAGTAAGATCCAACTTACTGATATACTTAGCTCTACTGATTTTGTTTAGAATATCATCCATTCTTGGCATCGGACGAGGATCAAACACAGTTACCTTATTTAGATCCCTATAATCAACCCAGAATCTAAGGGTGTCGTCATTCTTTTTGATGAGTACAATAGGCGCTGAGTAAGGGCTTTCTGTCTCCTCTATGATTCCCATCTCTTTCATCTGCTTGATTTCCGCATTTACCTTTTCCTGTAGCGCATACGGAATGGAATAAGGTTTCTTCTGGATTGGTTCCTCGGTTGTTGTTTTAATGGTGTGCTGGATGTAGGACGTTTTCTTTGGAACATCTGTAAATACATTCTCAAATTCTTCTACTAACCTTTTGAGTTGTCGTTTCTGCTCTTCTGACAGTTCTGACGATATCTTAACATTATCTGATGATTCTGTCTGTTGAAGGATTGGTGCTCTATGGTTAGTGCAATCGTCCTCATCTGAAAAATTTGGTTTTGCATCCATACATGCCAAAACTTCATTGCTTTTCGGACACTTCTCTTCCAAATCTCTGCTAAGCCACTCTTTCAACATGTTGACGTGGTTAACCGGTTCTTTATTATTGGATATTCTTACCTTGTAATCCACTGGACTTATACTTTTCACTACTTCATACGGACCTTTCCATTGCGCCATCAGCTTAGATGTGCTAGTTGGAAGAAGTACAAGAACTTTCTGACCTACCTCAAATGTACGAGTTCTCGCCTTTTTGTCGTAGTACATCTTTTGTTTCTTTTTCGCGAGTCTCTCTGGATCTTTAACCAAATCTCTAATGTTCTGCATTCTCTCCCTCGTCTCCAGAATATAGGACAACACTGAAGCCTGTTCGACTGTAGGTTCCTCCCACTGCTCTTTCAAGATTGCTAAGGGCCCCCTAACATGACTACCATAGAGCTATTCAAAGGGAGAATACCCAGTTGTCTCATTTGGCACCTCTCTGTATGCAAAAAGGACGTAAGGCAAATGAACATCCCATCTGTGAGGTTCAGAAGAAGCATATGCCTTCAGCATTTTCTTCAAAGTCCCATTAAATTTTTCCACTAACCCATTTGCTTGTGGATGGTAAGGGGTAGTTGTTAATTTTCTTACCTGAAGTAACTTACACAATTCAGTCATCAGTGTGGACATAAAATTGGTACCCTGGTCCGACAGAATTTCATTAGGCACACCTACCCTAGAAAACAGCTCTATCAAAGTGTTGGCCACTGTCTCTGCTTCTTGGTTTTTCAAAGGAAATGCTTCCGGATACCGTGTTGAGTAGTCCATACAACCCAAGATGTAACGACTTTTCTTCTCCGTCAGTGGAAGAGGTCCAACAAAATCGATGGCTATTCTTGAGAATGGTTCCTCAATGGGTGGAATAGGAATGAGTGGAGCTTTTGGAGTTCGACCTTTTGGTGTTCCCTTTTGACAAATAGAACAAGATTTGCAGAATCGGGATATGTCAATATACATTCCAGGCCAAAAGAAATGTTGCATAATACGCTGCCTGGTTTTCTTGTTACCTAAATGTCCTGCAAGTGGAGTGTCATGAGCCAGGGACATTACTTTCGACCTCATTGTCTTTGGTATGACGATCTGGGAAAATTTCTCACCAGAATCTTTCTGAAATATTCTATACAGTAAACCATCCTGTTTCTGAAAGTAAGACTTACCTTCTTGAGTATCGTCTTGTGCCATACTCAGTGCAGATTTCAAACTGTCATCTGATTCCTGAAGTTCTACCAACTTATCTCTGCTGCACCACAATTGTTTCAAAGATTCATCCTCTGAATCCTCTTCTGTTGCTTTTCTCAGAGAATTACTATTACCTTGCTCCAATTTGGCCTGCTAACGTGTCTGAACTGCAGCACAAGTGTTCTCGTCATCTCCATCCCTCTTGACTTCTATTCCATCCTCCATTGGTTTGAGTATGCTAACATTGTTACCAATAATTACATCAGCAAAGGGAGAATCAAGGACAAGGGCATGTACCTTACCTGATACATAAGGAGTCTTCAAATCTACCATTGCCTCATCACAGTTTCTTTGAGATTCATCAGCCAGAGTTATCACTCTTGAACGTCCTGTTTTATCAGAGTCTGAAATAAACTTACTACGTACAAATACAGTAGAGCACCCGGTATCTCGTAAGACTGCAACTGGTTGATCACTCACCTGGCCCTTTACTAAATCCAAACCCAATGCTGCCGATGTTTCAATTACTGGCGACTCGTTATCAACTCCGGACAACTTAAGAATCACCATACCCTTGGTTGTATCTTGTATATTGTCTACAACTTTAGACTCAGACTTATCTAAACACAAACCAACATTTTCTGACGTTTTCTCAGGCTTTGTACCTCTCTGACCTTTACTGTCTTGACCCTTTGACTGAGTTCTCTTAAGAAAACAGTTGGCTGCAATATGTCTTACTCTATCACAAATGAAACACTTTCTGCTATCCCCTGCATTAAAGTGAGACTTGAGATTTGACTTACCATCTTGAGTATTTGTCGAACCAAACTTGTTTGGCTTTCCCGTCGACCTATTCCCTGTACTGTGAAATTGGACACTATTGCCACTAAGATACTTACTCTTATGTGCCGCCTGAAATGCATTAGACAACGCAACAACCTCCTCAATAGACTTTGGGTCATGTTCAGGAATCCACAACTGTAAGTCTTTTGGACAACTTCTAACAACCTGTTCTCTCAAGACCATATCATACAACTTGCCAAAATCTGAATCTATTTTCTCACGTTCACACCAGTGATTGAGGTACCTTTCTACCCTAACAACAAATTTTTTAAATGACTCATCATTTGACTGCTTACCCTGACGAAATTTTTCCCTGTAATCTTCAGAAGTAAGCTCATATCTCTTGAGAATAGCTGTTTTGATAATCTCATAGTTATCACTATCTGCATCCGACAACCTTGAATACGCTTCCAAAGCCTTACCTGCTAACATAGGAACTAAGCGTATAGCCCACTGGGATTTATGCCATTTTTGCAACCCAGCTATCTTTTCAAACGACCGTAAAACGACATAAGGGTCCTGTCCCTCCTCAAACTTAGGTAACTTAACAGGTGGGCATTTAATCTCATGGGGTTGAGACCCCCAATTTTAGCATGTTCTAACTCTTTTTTTCTTATAGCTAACTCTCGTAATTTCACATCTCTTTCTACCTCTAACTTTGCACTTTCTCTCTGCGCCTGACGCTCTTCTCTCTCTTGCGCCCATCTCTCCCTTTCTAGCTCTCTCTTTGATTCCTGCTCCTGACGCCACATCTCGAGACATTCTTTTACGTTTGTACCCTTTTCAATTAAGTCAGCCATCCATTCTGGCATACCAGACATTGTGAAAGTTTGTGAACCTGAAACACAAAAGCATAATTAATAATAGAAACAAACTTGCAAAAAAAAAATTCCTCTATTTACCCAAGTTCAGATGTATCCCACCGCTGCCACCAAATTGTTGAGATGTGGGTTATACACTTTATAAGAACTTGAATAAATGAAGGAAACAAAACAAAATGAAATTTTAACAAAATTTAATAAACAAAACAAAAGTAAATTGTACAACAAAAGAAACAAATTTAAAAATATAGAAATGAATTGTCTATCAGCAGCACGTCAGTCCTGGAAGAATGTTCTTTAAAACGTAGTCAATTAATCACCACACCCTTGTTGGAGGTTTGAGTTCCGGTTTTTG